ATATACATATTTTATATAATTTTTCCTTTGTACCTAGAATTGTTTCCTTTGTCTTTTCTGCGATTTAATTAATTAGAAACAAAATTAGTTTCTATGGTAAACATGGCAATTGAAATAGATCAGAACAAAGTTTTAGTGATTATTTTTTTACTTAGACATTTTTTGTTTGACGAAAATACACTCTGCGTTCGATGTCCCGTCTAATTAAAACATGGATCGCAATTACAACGGACCAGATCCGAGGTTTGAACTCCTAGCGGTGCCCTCAGACTAAAGACGTATACGTCAGAGAGGAGTTGGCCTTCAGCCACGACATAAATCCTTCTGTGGCTTTGGGTGGTCATCGGTACTCGCACCCTATCGTTCAGTAAAGCTGTAAAGGTAAATTGCATCCAACAGCATCAGAATACTTAAAAAAATATCTTTTGATTGATGTACGGAGAAGACATCATAATTACTGTGACTACCCCATCTGTGACAATAGTCGTAATGTTAAAAATAATATAAATGACTGTATATAAGTTTAATCATTGCCGCCTTATTTTATTTGTACAATTGTGTTGATAAATGTTTCAGTATATTTTTTCTCATTTCTGTATAATGTAAATAACTCACTTACTTACGGCCATTATAATCTTTATAACAAAAAAGTCATATTTTGTTAAAGAGATTATAATGGCCGTATCATGTTGGTACTCATTCACGCAAAAATTACTGAACGGATTTTGATGAAACTGTATAGTGATATTACTTATACTTACATCAGAATAGCACATAGGCTAGCTATACATCATGCGAGTAAAGGACTTGTCTCCAAAAGATATTTCCAATCAAAGTTTCATTGTACTATTCGAAAAACAGTTTCAATTGTAAGAAACCGCTGTATAGTTACAAATAGCTAGAATTTTTTCAAAATCACCTGTGAATATACAAAGTATAAAATAGAATGAAACCATAAATATCACGATAATAAAATGAACGCAATCACATTAGAGTATTTTGAAGAACATTACAAAGTCGGCAGACATTCGAATAACGCAACTTTGAAGAGGTACTAGAATGAAACACTGTTGGGGGATAACAGGTAAGTATGATAAGAGTTTGATCGTTATTTGTATAGCTGCCAACAGGTGTCGCGGTTTCCGAGACATTGTAAACAAATTGTGACAAGGCGATGATAATATACATAGAGTTTACAATTTTTAGACACCTACAATGCTATTTATTTATTTATCTATTGGTTATTCATTATTATAGGAAAGTCAGTAAATCAATTGAAATTTCAATTAATAATTGAACATTTAGACTAGCTAGTAACCGACATTGCGGTCGCATAATATTGGAAAATTTATTTTTTATTTTAAAACATTGCGCGTTAATTATACTGTGGATATTATTAGTAACTTTTAATTTCATAGTATAAAGATCTCTTTAATGTTACACTTATAGAGCAGAGTTAACGATTTCTCATAAACATTAACTAACGCATTCACACTTTCACTTAATATGTAAATAAATAATACTCTACAACTCGCATAGCGTCCAACTAAACAGAGTTTGATTAAGTAACTAATAGACATACCTATTTAAATGTAAAAAACTTTCGATAAGTAATAAGGCATTCACCAAACCAATATAAATAAACCACCTAATTTGAGAAATAAAATTATCGTATATTTGTAGATAGCTATTATAAACTAGTAATTACTCGACCAAATTAAAATAAAAAAATTTGCTCATCTATTCCAGCCGTCATGCAGCTTGCTTCGTTCCGGTTTAAAAAATGACATATTGTAGGAAAATTCTAAAGTATGAATGTATAGCATAGTCCTGCATACTGTCAATGCATGAGTACTTTTATTATTGTTGGTGACACCTACTGTTACAGTTGCATGTATATATATATGTATATATAAGCGAGAATTACCATTCTAATAGACTGTCAGCGTACTTACCATTACTATTACATTAAAAAAAACTATATTTTTAAAAATATGTATTCCTAATAATTGTACCTACTTGTAATGAAAAAAATAGTGAACTCATAACAATATATTATTCTTACGTTTTATTTATTTTTATAATCTTTTTTAAATACGTATATTCGTGTATTAAATGAAGATTATATTTTACATTTTATACATTGTTGTGTCATATTATATTTATTTTTATATTCCTTTCTATTAGATATCTAGGTCTACGACGGAAATTGTTCAAAAAGTTTTCACATTTTCACCTCTTTCCTTTCATTCTATTTTACATTCGAATAATTCCTACATTATTCTGTTCCTCCACTCAGACTTAAATTCTTATGTAAATAAAAATAAATTGCTTAATGTTAGTATCATTTTATAGTTGGGAATAGCGAATTATTTTTTGAACTATTTACTACTTAGCGAACAAGAGATCGTATGGAAAAAATATATCTTCTCGAATGATATCCCCGATAAGAAAGTCAAAGGCAGTACCAGATGTGAATGCCACAATTATTATGCCCTCATTTCGTTCGGTATAATTATTTTAATACAACGTGTAATTGGTACGGGATTTTCATATAGGCTGGGTGCCTATATGAAAATCCCGTATAAGTAAAGACTAGTAATGAATTAATTGGCTTTTAAAAAAAGAAACCGGTCGAGTTCTTCTTAATTGAATATATATAAACTGAACTGTACGGTATACAGAGAAAAAATATTAATATAAAAACATGAAGCGGCTAAATTTCTTATATGATTAAATGATTTTTTATTTTATTTCATTTGACCCATCCAGCGTTAAAGGATATTTTTGTTATGAGTGTTTCCGTTACTAGAGAGTCAAATATGTAAATTAACACAAATGTTTAGGTTAACTAACGTATGAAATTTATAGCCTATGTGTTATTATACTATGTAAGCCATATTACTGTAAAGTTTCAGCAAAATCAGTTCAGTAGTTTTTGCATGAAAGAGGAACATACATCCATCCATGCATCTATCCAACTTTAGTCACAAACTTTCGCATTTATAATGGTAATAAGATTTATTTAAAAAATCATCAAAGTGGTTTATGTAAATTATAACAGCATCAAAGTTATGATACTATATTAGAATAGCGTAAAATTATGTACTTCAATGTTTTGAAGTCGGTTGAAAAGCAATAACGCCGTAAAACGTATTACAAATATGTCATATTTGATTATAGTATCAAAGGTTGTTTAGGACAAATAACAAGCTCGTTCTTTACCAAGGGAATTAAGAATTTGAATCTAATGACCTGAAACATAAGAGCCATCTCTAGTAAACTTGGAGCCACGTGTTAGACACGTGCCGGTCTTTGAGATTATCTATCTATCTATAGATGCCCGACGGCTTGGTTCATTATTTCACGGGGTTAATCTGAAACTATCTTCACTTCCCAGTTTTGTCAGGGGGTCGGAATATGTAACTCAATTGCAATCCTTTTTTTGAACAAATTGATTAAAAAGTGTTTTTTTTTATCCTAATGAGCTTTTGTCCACCTGTATTGGTATTCTGTAAGCGTTTTATTATTGCTTCACTCAAGGCACTCATATCCACTTGTCAAATATAAGGTTCCTAATGAGCTAACGAGTTTAAAATAAATCACTAATGACTGTTTTTCCTCTATCCTACTCTTGAGCGTGTGGCACTATCGAGTTTTACAGAATACCAATATACAGACATTCTCACCGCGTATTCCGCTTTCGAATTCGTAAGTCATGCTTACAGAATAGGTCTACTGATGGTATATGGTAACAGATGTCTACATGCTTAAATAGCGCTACGGACATCATGTCATCATGTGACGCCCGTGATACCACTCGTGCATTGCCATTCCAGAGGATTGAGTCCTGAGACACAATAACTAAACACAAGAACAAAGTACTAACACACCGTTGCTCGAATAGAAATTTAATTAATAAATAATCATAATATACTTCACGATTGTTATCCCAAATTTGGTCGTCAAAGATGTTGTCAAACATCGAAATGTTGACGACCGGAACAGTTGGCAGCAGAATTAGTCAGAAATATAAATGGACAAGTGTTTCTAGATTTGAACTAACGACTAACGAACTAACTTTAGGGTTAAAGTCTGATAGTAAACCTTTGAGCCACGATACTCCATTTCATAGATATATACGAATTTTTGCGATATATATATATACATATATATGATTATGTAAATGAGTAAATAAATAACCCTGGACAATTAACCCAGCGCCATATAGTCGTGGGACAACATGGCAGCATAAGCAGAGCTAATGTTAAAGGTACCACCATGGACAACTGATATAAAAATGTATTTTTTTGTATAGTAAATACATATGTAGTATACATATAAAACACCCAGACTGATCCAAACAATCATACTCGTGCGAGAATCGAACCCGTGACTATCGGAAGTAAAGCGGTGTTCTAAACCGCTAGACTACCGAGGCCGGCGATATATTAATTGTACAATGAATAAATACTACCTATTAATAAAAAAAATATTTAATTTCTAACCTCACGAACATACCAATTCAAGATGTCAAAGTTATGAATTATCAACAAACATTTGATATCGTTGAATCCAACGTGGCTAGAATCGAGCTTACCGTCTTCTGTTGGTATTTTCTATGCCATGCAGTAAGGAATTTAGATCACACAGATTTCTACGTCCAATATGCGTTCAAACCTTTAAAGCTATGTTCCCCTGGAGTTATGATCGTTCTTGACATTTCACATTCTGGTTCCGCTATTTTTACTTATATTTCTTTAAATAGATATAGCAAAATCGTAAAAATGTTGTTTGACTTTAATTGCACACTGACAATTGGGATGAATATCATGCGATATCGCAATTTTTAGTAAACAGATTTTACATTATGCTTGAAAACTGCACCATAAAACATAAAATATATCCAAGTAAAACCTTCCTTAGTTTGACAGTCCACAAAATAGATAAAAAAAACAAGTCGTGGCCAAGAAGACTATTCAAAATATTTTAATTAAAAAACAAACTTACACGTCAAATCAATATCACTACCATTGTCATATATGTAAAATAAACATGTAAAATTTTGGGGAAAAATAAACCAAATTAAAAAAATGGTACCCACCATTGTTATGAATTAAGTAATTCATTAATCTGGAAGCTCAGCTGCATTCAAAATGGCAAGGTATGTATACAAAAGCTTTAAAATGTTAAATTAATAAGGCTTTAACAAATGTTTCACTTATTAATGCGAGCATTGATATTTCCCGGGTGCTTGTAACTTGGTGATTTTTTTATGTAGTAACGTAAAAATATCTGGAATAAAGTAGGTACCAATTAAAAACTGAAGGAATTTCTAATATTAGTGCAGTGGATCTAGAGGTGTATTCTTATTACAAAGTTCTGTCTTTATCTATTTATAATTATTGTTACTTAGATTACATATAAATGATCAGATAGATTAATTAAATCCGAAACAGTACCTACTACTTTTTCACTTCCAATTTAACAAAGAATAGAAGCTAAAAAGAATATTATGAGACGGCCCAATAGCAGCCTATATACCTTAAATTAGCTTTATTCCCTGGACAAATAAAATATGGTTTACTTTTTTAACAGATTGTTTTCTAGGAAACTGTTATTTATTTTATATAACATCAATGAAAAAGTTTTGTACATTAAGACGGTATTAATATTTAATTACACAAACTTGCAAATAACATATCTGGAGAACAAAGAGATCTAAAAGGCGGTTTCTTAATTAACGCTTAGGAGTCTTTAGGTGAATAATTATAATGTAGCAAATAGATAGACGGTACACGAGGCAATAATTTATTTAATAATATTGAAAGGACAGATATGATAAAATGTTATATTAGCATCGAAAACCTAGAGTTTTGCGAGACATGTGTAGACATTATTACAAACAACTATGTTTGGTACTCAATTTATAAAACTGTTATAAGATTGTACCGAAAATGTCTTCAATATGGATAATAGCAATATATTAAAAAACAAAACTAATATTTATTACGTGCAATATGACTATCATATTAATTATTTCTGTTTAAAGTAGGCATAGACATATACATTGGTAATAAATAATAAGAATGTAGTGTGTATTTAGTAGGTATAAGTTTCGCTGCCCGTATCTAAATATACTCGTACTTTAGTCGTAGTATTTGCCTCTACAATATTATTGCGAGGTAGCAGGCAGCGTATTCATGCTTGCACAAGTTCTCTTCAAAGCAAAGATGCTATGTACGACATCTATGCTTTATGAAATTTCTATCAAAGCCGATCTCACAGGGACTACTATGTCATATTTCAGCTTTTAATATCATTTTTCATCGCACACGGTGAAATGTGACTTTCCGCTATTTTTACAAACCTTTATTTATCTTGCAATGTTTGTAAGATTCTTTGTATAATATTTTGCAACAGATTTTTAAGAAGTTGCAAAATATTTTCCTCTATTAAAACAGATTCGTTATACATGTTTCGTTTAAATGACAATATTCAACTAAGGGACCTTATACTAAATCCATAATGATGGACTACTTTGTTTATATATATATATATTATTAGTATTCCTGTGACATAGGTTTGAATGTAAGTAATATAAATATTCGTATTAATTTATTATTTCATACGATACGCGTGACAAGATATACTTGTGTGAAATAATAAATGAAGGGAAGCTTATGGAACGCCTTTTTTAACACAACGCCATCTAGTCCCAAATGTCCCTTATACACTTATATCTGTAACACGAGCGATCGAATCCGAGACCATCGAAAGTAAAGCTGTGTACTAAATCGACTAGACTACTAAGCCCGCATTCAGAAAGAAATCCTGTACGATATATGACATTAGGCAATGAAAATTAAAGGCACGTCACCTCAATCCTCTGAAATAGCAATGAATTTCGTGGTAACGGGAGTTGCAATGTATTTCATGATATTCGCGAATATTTATAGTGCACCACACTACATCAAATGAGCTAATATTTACCATCCGCTGTATGGTAACATAGAGGAATGTTCAAGCGTTTTCGTAATTAAAATCGTTATTAAACCGTTTTTCATTAAGCTTTCTTTGCTTTTGAGTGAGATTTGATGAGATTTAACAGGAATTATATGAGCTTATGAAATATAGGACGTATAGTTAGAAATGCAGCTCTGTTTTATTGCAATTTCGTCGAATTTTGCAAAACGCCTGAACAGTGTTCTCAACGGTATGCCCGACATTTCTTAATTAAAATGCATAAAAGCTCACGATTTTATCGAGCAACTTCAAATTCATAATATTCCAATATTATACTCTACTCTTTGTGTATGCTATGTATAAATGTCGATTCGTTCGATATATTTTTTAATAAAATAGTTTGATGTTGTTGTGTAACATGCAAGTTTATTGTACTTGTAATTAAATATATGATTATAAAAATATGGGCAAGAGTGGGTTTATGAAAGATATTTAAAAACCTAAAGAAATGACTGCCGGTATTTTTTTTTAATGGATAATAATAGAATGGTGCATTCGACTATCCTAACGGTATACTCTAGCGGGATACCAGTGTAGGATGATAAGATGAGATCACATTCCCCTTCGCAAATTCACTAGGAATTTAACTTGATGTTTTCCAGCAGGAATAGCTTGGTCGACCTGACATGGTACATTGCCAGCATGGGGTTATTAATCCACATTCCTTCCGACGGTACTGGGGATAGCCTATATCTTGATCAGATTAAACATGTGTTGTTTGATATTTGATTAGTACATAGCATATTAACAAATAATAATTATCGACAGTTGTTGTACGTGTAATGGCGCTAGTAACAGCCCTAAATCCAGCTTGCCTCTGATTTGCCTGGTGCCTCGTGATGACGCCCGCCTCCCCGACCAGGCAGGTGCCGGCAAACCTCGACCCATGTCAGCCGGCACCTCCGCTCAGAGTGGCTTCCAACTCCTCGACGAGGATTACATAAAGAAACACTTCAAGCTGCCACAGCGATCTCTATACTTGGATCCCTTCAGGTGAATTTACATCATATGAAGTGACTACACCTAATTCTGAATATTTGTTATTTTCAGGATAAGATTTTAGGTAAGAAAATATTTGAAACATCGAACAAAAATTATTCATAGAATTGACGAATAATAATTAATTAACAGAACAACTAAACAGTAGAACAGAACAACTAAATCTTTAGTTTTAGCCATTTTCGCCGCATATTTTTCTATGAAATTTAATGAATAAATAATCAAATTAATACTGTTACAAAATGAACCTATTGTTGTGAGAGTTTTAACTGCATAGTACATTCGATGATATATTGCATAGATATATGATTAGGTACCTATATGTAGTTAAAACCTTCAAGATCTGTAAATTAAGTCCCTTTTATTAAATTGTATAAAAGGGACTTAATTTACAGATCCTTTTATCCAAAGAAGTATAAAAACTAACATGTTATTTGTTACAGACGGCCACTGATTACGTTTCCTATGACTCAAGAAGACTCAAAGAATTTCAACTTGGCTAGGAAGTATAAGATTAATCAACAGATATTGGACGGGTTCCTGGACCCTAGCGAGGCAATCTCAGCGCCTAGTGTCTTTGTAAGGAAAATGTTCTTATTATGCCTGACTGACTTGATTGACGACTCGGTTTCTTGTTTATATTTCCTACTGTCTCTGAATTTTCAAATAACCTCTAATTTAGGTTGCTCTCAACTAGAGGTTTAAAACCCTGGCTAACCACCAAAAGGTTTAAGATCAAATATGGCCGACAAGAAAAAATATAAATACTACATTAGAATCGCCCAGTTATACTCTAATTTAGATAAACCTAAAGAAATGTGGACATGCAATGTGATTTTACCACGAAGTCTCTACGGCGACGATTGGCAATTCCTCTGTCTATCACATCTGTCATAACGATCCTCACAGTTATTTTTTATTAGTTAATTAATTCTGCTGTAAAACGAAATGATATCGAAAGGTCTCAGGCGAGGTCCCATGTTTTCATGCTTATCATGTTCTATTCACCAGGAATAGGTAAACCTGGTAAATTATAAGGGGACCAATTACTAACAACCCTTTCAATAAATAAAGTATGCCGAAAATAATAAAATAGAATTGAGCATTTTCTATGCACGCTTAATAAAACCGCAATACGGTTATAATAGGAATTCGGCAAGTAATGTAGACAGAGAAACCTTTCACTGTCTAGTTAGTACATACTATAAACTATTTAAAGATATGGTACATATATACCTAATATTTCAGTGGCTGATCCATATAGGAACTCTATGGGCCGACCTTCATTTCGAATCTCACACATTCCGAATTCCATTTCTTTTTTGTGTTGTCAGGATTTCATTAAAAAAATAACCTATTTTTGTAATTTGTAATATTGATTCATAAAAAAACTTATTGAAGGTTTATAGAGCTCATTAGTTAAAACATTCATTAGCGCTATTGAAGGTTTATAGAAGTGCGTTATTCATAAACCTATTATAAAGCCTCGCTAACTAATAGAGGTTTATAGGACTGTTTTTATCATTATGTTGCAATCTTGACGTTGGACTGTTTTACCATATACGCAGGTGACGTAATCAGTGTTGCTATTTTAGTTGCTTCACCACAATCTAGCAGAATTAACTCCTCCAGTATTGAACAAATTATGTAAATTAATACATTTTTATACATTTTCCTATTGAATATATATAAAATTGTATTTTATTATTGTAATTGTATTTCTATTTAATAAAGTTAAGGGAAGATAGAAGTATTTTTACATAGTTTTTAAATATTACAATGATTTTTGGTTTAAATATGCATGTATTTTTAAGCAAATTTTTAATATAATGGTTTCAAGTAGTTTTATTAATTCATTAATATTGATTTAAATATTTTGTAAAACTCGAGGTTTCTTTGCTATATAGTGGATTCAATAAAACATCGTTGGCAACACTGGTTCTGTCAAAACGATTGTTTTATTTAAAATTGCATGTTATAATTTACGATTGTTTTAATATAGTTACAATTCGTTAGAATTAGAATTAACGGATTTATTACATATTACGGATTTTCATTGTCTAGTAAATTTTAAAATGGATAAACAAAAGAGAGCACGAAGCGAAAATTGGTTGGAAGACGACAAGGTAAGATTGTGTTTACTTATCAATATTTGTTATTTTTGTCCAGTTTTGGATCAAGTAAATTATTTTTTATGTACGACTTTGAATTTCACTTGTTTTAACTTTTTATTACATTCATTTAATGCATACCTTATTTTTGATAGAATTTATTGTTGGAATTGATCCGCGATCGTGTCGCCGTACTAGAGAATAAGAATACGGATACGAATACCAACAACTGTAAAAAGAAAGGATGGCTGGAAGTTATGGATAGGTTATTTATTATTTGTAGAAGCTAGCCCGTAGATTAGAGTAACTTGCATGCTTAGTATAATTTTATATGTGAATTGTTATTGCTCATGTACTTACACTTCAATATATTTTTCAGTTTTAATGCAATGTGCAAAGGTAGCAGACGCACATTGCAACAAATAAAAACTCAGTGGGGAGTCATCAAAGTAAGTAAAAAGAAAAATTTAGCAGACCAGAGGCGATCTCTGAATAAAACTGGTGGAGGACCACCTACTGTGACTGTTCCAGTGGACAGTACAGACATATTGGCATGGTTACCGCAGGAGTTTTACGTGGACACCAATCTATATGACTCTGACGCTAAAACAGGAATTCCAGATGATCATGTAACCTATTTTTTATTTTTTCATTGCATATAATATAAAAAGTAAAGGTAGTAAGTGTAGGTTCATTAATCATTGTGTTCATATTTCAGATAAATGAAATAGATGTACCTGTTAGCGCTGTAAGTAATATATAATAAGTAGTATCTATTATATCATGACATCAATGAACTCAGCATAATGTATATTATATAACATATATATATTATTTTTATAAAAGTACATGTTGTAATTAAAAGATTCCAGACAAACCTAGAGAACCAAAACTGAATGAAAAAGCACCGGAGATGCCAGAAATTATTTTGGAGATTGATGAAATTATTGAAAATGTAAGTAATATAGAACTTTTAAATATATTTTTGTGTGCTAAATGACTGGGACCAAAGATTATAAAGAGATGTTTGATATGATTGATTAAATTGGTTGGTATAATATGGTGTTTAATATACATAAATTTTGTTATTTCTTTTGTAGTCTCAAAGTGGCAGCACAAAAGAATATATTTCAAATGAAGGAAAGAAATATAATAAAAAAAGAAAGGTACCCAAATAAATTTATACACCATAAAATACAAATATTTTTTATAATTAAATAATTGTTTTTTTTTTATTATACAGCTCACAAATACAAACAATTATATACAAAAAATAGCTGATACAGAGATCAAGAACAAAAATGAATTACATAATATACAAATGGATAATGAAAGAAAGAAAGCAAGAAATTTAGACTTGGAGTATGAAATTCTCCAACAAAAATTGATATTTTCTAGAAAGAAAAACAATCCAAGTATGTAGACAACTTGTAACAAGTTAAATATAAAATATAGTAAACAAAGTAAATTAACATAATTTATTTTATTAAAAATTATTTTGTATAAATGTATCCAAAATATATCGAGAGTGTCTTCTTACAGCACCATTGCCCATTCCTTCATCAATTTGATGTTGTGATTGAATGGTAACCTCTTCAAGATTCTCATATTCTGAAATTAATAATATTATTACTTTACAGGCCCATAATTTATTGAAAAATATAATGTATTGATACTTATCAAAATACAGCTTAAACAACAAGGATTAGAAACATGTCTGTATAACTATATTCAATGGATGACTGTGACTGCATCATATATCAGAAGATATAAATAACAACAATGTATAAACTACATTAAAACTTTGTCCTTTACACATAATCTGGATAAATAGTTTGAAAGTTACATATTCATAGCAGACCTGTGAGGCTTCAAAAATAATTAATTCTGGAAGATTTTTACAAAAATACATTTTCATATGAAGTCACAGGCAACCGCTAGTTGTAATAATTGTGTAACAGTGCAAATTATGAATGCACTGAAGTTGATAATCAAATATAGTAAACAAATTAGTGTTTGTACAAAAACTTGTATTGTAAATTTTTTGTAAAAATTGTGTTTATTAAATAATATTGAAATAAATAAAGTAGTGTTTCATTAAAAGAATTACCTAATATATCGTCATTCCTACTCATAGCGATATTGTGGAGCACAGCTAAAGCCACTATAACTGCCTTTCCATTTTCCAGCGATACACTTAATCCATGTAGTAAACATTGGAATCTCTGTTTCCACACTCCAAAACATCTTTCCACACTATTCCGTGTTTTGATATGGGCAGAGTTATACCTTTCTTCCTTTCTACATACAGGATGCAAAATTGGTGTAAAAAGGTAGGGCAGAAGTGGATACCCTGAGTCACCGAGTAAACATCCTCTAAAGTGACCATTATTAAACCTTTCTTTTATAATTGACTCAGTAAATATTCTACTGTCATGAGTACTGCCCCTCCATCTTGCTACAACATCTCTTATTACAAGTTTTGCATCACAGACAACCTAAAATCAAAATAATTAAGTACTTTATACATTACTAGTACATATATATATATATATATATAAACCTTCCTCTTGAATCTATTATAACCCCCCTTCAACATGCATTGTATAGTTTTAATGTGACTTTGTTTTATACTATGTAATGATAATTAGTTAATCAAACAATATAGATATGTTTTACACATAATACATAATTTTATCACCTGCACATTCAAAGAATAATATCCTTTCCTATTTATGTAATATTGGGCTGCATCACCACCTGTTTTTTTAATTTTAATATGGGTACAGTCTATAGCCCCTGTAACCCCTGGAAAACCAGCCAGACTTTCAAAATTTGTCATACAAGACCGTTCCTCTGTGACAGTTTCTGGCATTTTTATAAAAGTGGAAGCAAGCTGAGCAATTGCCTTTGCCACCCTACTACATATCCTACTAACTGTGGGTTGACTGAGTCCATGAAGATCAGCACAATCATCCTGAACCTATGAAATGAAAGATATCAAGATTAATTATGAGTTTGAATTGTATGAAAACTTACATATAAAAACTTACATTATCCTATATATATATAAAAATATATGATTGATGAATGTATTGTAAAAAAAACTTACCTCTCTTCGTCCCCAACACCTCAAAGCAGTTAACACTTGCAACTCTGGAGAAACGGCACCACCTCTGGGATCTTGTTTTAGTTGATCGTATACCAAGGAAATTATATATCGAGCAGTACTTTTATTGAATCGGTATTTATATTTAAAGCACTTATCTGGTAAAAGAAATGGATTGACTTTTTTTTTAAATGTTTTTTTTTGACGTATTCTTGACATATCAATTAAATTAATTGTAGAAATGGTCGTAATTGCTTCCATTTTATTAATTAACGGAATAATTATTTCACAATTTTTAGGTTAAAATGCCGCTAAAGTAGGGAGTCGGCTCTGTTAACTTTATAGGCTCGCTATTTGACGTTTTGACTTTATCGGACCGCTATAGAGCGTTTATGAATAACGTTTTTCACTATCAGAGGTTTATCATAGGTTTATAGAGGGTTTATAGAACTGATTGCTAATGAACAGTTATAAGAGCTTTATAGAGCGTTTATAAATAGAGATTTTTATAAAGCCTTTATAGCACTGTTATAGTGGGCTTATAAAGGCTTCTTAAGTTTTATGAATAACACTGATAGTCTTTGTAATATTAATTTATTGGTATTAATAGCCATATGCTAAAACCGAGGCGGAGAAACGGAAGGAGGCTGAGGAAGATGAGGAGGTGATTTATATTCTTCGACTGCCTGATTGGGAATTCAAGTGTCCTTCTCACGAACAAGAAATAAGAACGCCCAGGTATTTTTAGATATTAGTTTAGCTGTGATTTGACTAGTATCGCCATCTTGTGAGTAAGAATTAAATACCAAAATGTTTTCTAACAGCGCCCTCTGTTAAATGTCTCAGAAATGAATTTATACCGCAATATTAGAAGCGCCATCTGTGTTGTGATAAAGGAAATAGTAATTACACATGAACTTATTTTTGTTCAATTTCAGATAGAGGGTATTACATTAGCAAAAAGCTAATGTTAAATGTCAAATAAGAATTGTTTGAATTGTATATTTTTTTTCAGATTCATTTGGCACTCATGTAAGAAACCTAAAAAAGATAAAGGAGGCGAACTAAAGCAAGGTGGGGGACCACTAAACAAACCTAAGCCATGGCTACTCAGTCGGCATACCGATTTTGATTTATTGTCTCAGTGGTAGTCAAATGATTTGTTAAATCTAAAATTTTATTGTTTCCTTCAAATGATAACTACTTATAAAAATAAATAAAATTTTCCCTAAGTATCAGTTTTAATTAGTACCTACGTGCCTAAAAATAGTATTTAATTCGTTCAGATTATTATTTAAACCAAAAGGTTATTAAATCATTTTTCTTCCAAAATTTCTCTTGTAATTATTTTTAATGTATATCTTATATAATAAGTAATAATAATACAATCAATTAATCGAATTACAAACTTTGCGAATATCAAAGTAAAACTAAATATGTCCTAATTTTTAAAATTAAAAATAATTTTTGTAACATATTCTCAAACATCATTCATGGATTGGTCTCAACAATATAAGAAAATAAAAAAAGAGTGACTTGCGCGTCATGTCAGTCGTCAAATGAACCATAGATACAGGGCGGCAAATTGAAACAATATTTGCAGAAATCTCAAATATCGACGCTAGGTATACGCAGCCGCACTTGCATTCGCAATGTTTGAAAATTGTAATTCAGTACAAAGATGCATTAAAAAAAATAAAATTTTGTAATACCTAGTTTCTTTGGATACAAAATGTGATAGATGTGTAAAAATTTTTTTGTTATTGTACTTTGCGATATATTATGAAATCCACATCTGTGTAGGAAGTTTAGGTATACTAAATCGGAGTGCTACGAATTGCTTTACGCCTACTACGAATTCACAGATAAAAATGGGATCTGCCTATGTAACCTGGCCTTTTAGGTTGTATTATGCGCATTTTAAATTAGGGTAACGAACTAGCGCAAAAATATCCTCTAGGAACTTTGACGATAGTGTTGAAGCACTAATTATATTCAGATACCACCTACGTATGTACTGAAGTTATAGTAGTTCACAGCACCAAAGTAATTTACATAAATACAGCAGTGAATCTGTAATTCAACGCTTATTTGTCTCAATTTAGAAGTTGCTTACTAACGCAATATACATAAATTGCTCACTGGTGTACCTATAATTTATAAGAATTATGTTCAAACTTTTTTTTAACGTTCTTCGTTCAAAAATGACAAGTCCCAATTTATCAAACTATGTGTCAAAATCTTTTATGTTAGAAAAACCTTAAAATCAAGAAAAATTGGTTCCAAGTATATAAAATTACAGTAATGACTGAAAAAGCACTATCGCCGAGACTTGCTAAAGTGTAAATATATTAATTATGATGTAAGTATTATTTACTTTCTTTTACAATTTTTGTCAATTTGTCTCTCTGTTTGTTCCGGCTAATCTCTGAAATGACTGGGCCGATTTTGACGGGATTAATTATTAAGTAAGACGGACGAACTTAGGCTACTTTTATTTGAGAAAATTTCTTTCATTAGAAAAATAAAGTTAAATTCCACATGGACGAAGTCGCAGCTAGTTGTATTCGAAGGTAGGTACAGCTAGTATAATTATGTAATAATAATCCTCTGACTAGAATCGTCTATTTTATAGATAGTAACTAATCTCTAAAATAAAGAAGTGTAATTTAGAAACGTCTGTAAAAGATGATTTATATATATATATATATTCTATTTCTGAATCAGTTGTTAAAAAGGATAATTTAGTAACCCGTAACTAAACAGAAAGTATGAAAAAACTAGAAAGATTTCTAACAATGTTTAAAATTATTTTGTCGATTTTGTAATTTCTTTAGAAAATTTATATTAACCAGTTTTTTTCATGCAGACCTTTGGCAAGGTCTGGATTCGATGTTTTAGATATGTCAGCTCCAGTTTTAGTGCAAATGAATCCGGAGGGAAAATGGGAGAATTGTAAGCCCGACAATTTGGATGAAGAAAGATTAAAAGCTGTTGTACAATATCTGGTCAATTCAAAGGCAGTATCGGCAGCTCAGAGTTATTGCTGTCAATGTACTGTAGATAGCCAAGTAAAAACTCAGCTTGCAGTGTTCGTTTAATTTTTATTAACACATTCAAGGAATTCCTATTTTAAAAATTGACTCATTACTCTTGCAGAAACATGGAGGTAAATCAAATTATGTTCCAATTATAATGATGCCAATTTATCCAGCTGATAAATGTCCATTTGATATAGAATGCGAATTAGATAAAAACAAGGAAACAGATTCCAAGAAAATAAAGAAAATGGAAATGGTAATGGACTTTGAAAAAGACAAAGAGAAGAAGAAAATGAAGAAACGTGGATTTGTTATGCAAAGACTCACGGATTTCGATTTACTATCGCAATGGTAAAAAAATGTTTATTTTTTACCATTGCGATATGGATGGATGGATTTTGTACTTCGATTAAATAATGTAATGTACGAACATATTTTTTTATTATATGTATCAAAATATAATATAAAATTCACATAGTATAAATGATATAAAATCCATATAATATAAAAAAAAATCTTTGTTAATGGGAATCACGGGATGCTTTTCTAAGAAAAATAGGATTTATCAGCAATTAATATTACACTTGGTGAGTTTGCAAAGTTTTTAATCGTTTAAGACGAAAAACGAAATTCATGGCATTCTCGAATGACTTATTATAGCTACAAAAAGTTGTAGGGTGTGATTAATAGATGGCGCTTTCGTTAAGAAATTTAAAAATCGATTTGATTAATGTTTATTGATTAAAGATTACGATACAACGGTGTTTTTTCTTGTATACATAAATGGTATATTAGAAATTAAATTGGTATGCTTTAGTTCTAGTTGTTGTAATGCTAAATGTCAAAAAAATAATAGTATCCTCAATGGCGTCAATTGTTTAATTTTCATGTCACTATTAGAGAGAGATAAGAGACAATTTGGGGATACATCTCTGTCAAATGGCAAACATGTTAAGATTTAAACGCTTATAGAATACTTCACAAGAGATTTCAGTTATTATTTATTATAATCCATAATTCTGTTCATAATATTCCCGCTAGTAGTCAGATGTAAATATATATGTATTTAAATCTGATAATTTAAGGAAGAGGCATATTATAACTATCTGTGACACCAAAATTATTATTAAAAAAAGGTAATGCACAAGATATATTACGGTTCGTATATCTTGCTAGTAATGTTAAGCACAAGAAGTTTCAAGATACATACATATCTCATAATATTTAAATGAAATCCATAATATTGTTTACTTCTAAAATCTGCATTATTTATTACCATCAGCAATTTTAACATTTTACAGGTTACTCATCTATACAACTAAAAGTTGCAGGTAACATTTAATAGAAATATGAAATTTTACGTTTTGTTTCGTTATTAACCTATTTTTATTTAAAATCAATAACATGTTAGGAATAAATAATAGACCTTGTTGACAGATAGAAAAGAAGAATGTATATATTAATTTTATATTACAAAAAAATATATAGCTTTCGTATAATACTGTTACTATTCATCATAAAAAATGTAATATTAATTACGTGTTGAGCAATAATTTAATTACACGCAAATTATAGCTGCCGTTGTTATTATTAGTTTATAAATTTAAACATCTGTTGTTGCGGAATCGCATATATTTAAAAGTATTTGATAGTCATGTATACGAGGCTTTATACCAAGTGCTTGCTAGTTGCGTAGCAATCTCTTTATTTAATTGTATGGTAACAATTTTTTAAAAAAATCGTGAAATGAAATATTTTGCCATTAGTTGGCAACACCGTTGATGGCCGACCACGGTGTTTGAAGTCAATGTACATTGATACACATTGTACATTATTTTTTTATTTCAAACCTATTTTAATAATGTTACAGTAACAAACACAAACTTAAACCAATGTAATAATCAAGAACATATTTAAAATACAGGTAAGAATTTACATTTACTGGCTATCGTAGACAGGATACGCAATTAGTGTCTCATCCTACTAGTGTAGGTATATGTTTTCACATATATCCTTTCAAAATCCCAGATAGATCTATTTAGCTCAAAATGCGTTTCTGCGCATCCAGCTAGTCCTAGTTAAAATAGGTCATGTCCCGTCTGGCTTCAGTCGCGAAGCTGCGCTCCAACATGCAAAGGTCAGTTAAATTTCGCCATTCGATGTGAGAAAATTGTCTGTTCTTTTTTTATTTGGGTATTCTATATAGGGACGGATGCATGTGAATCCTTGTTCTCATAACGAAAAAAAAAATATTCTCACGCTCTCGATCCTTTGTCGTGGTTATTTTTTTTACTCAAAGAGGAGACATGTGATTAACTTCCTGTATTGATGAGAGAGAACTGAATGTCGATAATGTAGTCTTGTCGTGTTATACCAAATACGCACTTTAGTATTGTTTTCGGTAATAATTATTTGTTATTGTTATTTTATACATTATTTTTTCGTAATAAAAGGAAGTCTCTAACATATGATTTATTTGGCCTTGATTGTGACATTGCTGTAGTGTGAGTGAAATAATTGGGTGTATAATATGGCCTTACATTATATAGAAATTGTATATTCAGTTACAGTGTTTAAGTGTTTCAATTGATTTTTAGTCCATTTTTTATTATAAATAATGTGATTGTCTTTTAGTTGTTTAAAGAGTCCATTGTGGAGATCATCAAGTGAAAAGAATTTTTAGGTTATTATTTGATGCCTTGTTAAGCTTTCTGGTTGAAACTCACAATGAGTTTATTGGGCATTTATAATTTTGAAATGAATATTTTTTTAATTGTTCTGTGTATTTTAGTTGAAAATTAAGAAATATACAAGGTTTAGAGTTCTAGTGAAGTGATTATATGGAATATTTTGAGTCTCTTTGTTATACACAGAAAGTGAATATCTAAAAGTTTAAGTTGTAAATTGGAGTACTTTCATTATTTGGAATATTCAGTGATAGAATACAAGATATTGAGAGTTTTTTTTATGAGAGATATACTTTTATTACAAAATAAATCTTTGCCTGTTATAACCATTTTTGTTTAGGTACTGTATTTAAACAGGCCAAGTAATATAATATAATAAAAAAATATAACTGGAATAAAATCAAAATCCTACGTACAAACACATTTATTGTTTGTATAAAATATCTGTTTGAAAGATAACATGGCATGACAAAATGTGAAACGAAATGACTGCGAACATTTCTCTTTTATTTATCCCGAATAGAAAGAAAACATTTTGCCTTGAACTTAAATAAATGGGATGAGTAAGAAGCAGATTATGATAATTATATAAAATAGTATTTTCATTTTTATAAATTCAGAATGCTATAAATTCAAGTATACTTTTACGATGCAAAATTCAGTACAATTATAGTGAAGATTTTATTTTCAGTCATACATATTATAAAAGAAATGTGGAAAGCACATCTCAAAATCAATTGCAAAAATTTTTATTTGTTATTTCAGTGGAAGGTTATGGGGCGGGTCACTACTATATTTTAGTAGTTTTATTTGTTTAACATTTGAATTTAATACCATGAGAGTCAAATAACATAACACTACATTTGTGGTGCGGTGCATGTATATAGATTATAGTTATATTCCATCAGATGTGACAGGAGATTTACCATACCATATTAAGAATACTCTTTGGAATTTTATTTCCATTTATAATATGATTTTTTAGTGTCCATTCAGATTACCTTAAATATTTTATTGTAAACTAACAGTTTCTAATTTTTTCTTATACAAAATACCTAATAAAAATAGATAATTGATAAAAACTGGTAATCTTGCCATTCTATCAAAGACAAGTCTATTACATGTTGAATTTTATTAGCAAGCTGAGTAAAGTATAATAAATGACCTAATAGAAAGTTGTAACAATGATTTCCAGATATAAGATCATCACAGACATAAAATCTACTTCCACGACTATGGTATGTCTTTTGTGCACAACTTTTGATGTCTGGTACATCAAAAGTTGTGCAAAGGCAATGAATATTTCCATAATAAAATCACAGCATGCAAACACTACTTTTGAACAGAGTTCAAATTAATATTTAATATTTTTGGTTACATCATGTTAGCCAATTTTCGAAGACTGTTGCAAAGACAGTGTATTAGAAAAAAAGGGTTATATAGTAGAAATAGTTGACAGAAAAGCATAATTACAGATTACTCTATTCTCCACAAGTATTTATTATATGACATAGGGCAAAGGCAGTTCTTAATTTATAGAGTATAACCCCAGAGGGACTTAATAAATAAAAAGACTTGCATTCATGGGGTGCAAACTCGCACTGTCATCTTTCAACTAATTTGATTATAGTACACTTACTGATTGTCAAAATAGAGAATAAAAATATATGCCTCATCTGACTAGTACAACCATATTTTATCAGTTATAGGCACTTTCTTATTTAGTCATTCCAATGAAATATGCTATACTTTTCTTCTAATTTATATTATGTTTTTTATCATTGTGGATATATTTTATAATACCCACAAATTTATATTATTTTAGAATCGGTTTGAGAAATAGTACAATAGTAGGATGAAAACACAGTTTTTACACTGTTAGATTATTATATTTTTTATATATTACTCCAATGGTTTTTTTTAGTGCATTATCATTGTTTGCATAGGTATCATATTGTTTTCTTTGTGGAAAGAAACACTGTAGTTGTGGTATGACTGTATTAATTTTGTACAAAATGAACTCAAAATTTGTACAAAATATTGTTGTATGTGTGTAAGGCTAACTATTGTTGTATTATGTCAATGTAATTGAAGGCAATCCTTCATTTCTACATTTTGTTGTTATAAACATCTGGCCGTGCATAGTGTGGAAATACAACACCTGTTTATTCTCATATGCTATGTTCTCATGATAACAATCAATTACATGGAAAGTAATTTTAATTTTAAATATGTGCTAGTTTCTTTGTTGCTTACTTCTTTGTAGTGTCTAAAACTGACAACATACATTTTTCAGTCAATTTTAGTCATATCACTGCGCCAACTCTAAACTATGTAGATAGATAAAGGATTTGAGTAGGAGTCTTAGTAACAATATTTCTGACACATCTAATATTTTTATAGTCGTTTCTGTAATTTATTAAGTCTATATGATAATTATATTATTGTTAATAGAGGGCTTGGGTGGGTTACTTGCATTGTGGATAAAAAAGTATTTCAGAAGTAAGCAGTATGAAATGTAACATGTATTCAGGCATGTAACTGCAGTTATATTATTCAAATTTATTAATATAAATTATTTCTTTCTACAGACGTACTACTAATGCAAAAATAAAGGCAACACGTAAAGTGGTATGTATTAACAGAATATTTAGTCAGAAAATTAACAATTTTAATATTCTTCAAACCTCATCAATTATAGATTTTTAGAGTTAGGTTAGGGCTGTATTTATTAATATATTTGAGTAATTCTTTTTATTTGTAATGGCTGTTTTTTTTTTACTTTAAATATTTTTACAGTTGACATCTTACTTTAGAATGGATCCATCATGCTCACATTCTGGGTGTGACATATATGAGGGGACAAATGAAGTCCCCTATGAAAGCAATGCAGAGAATAAGACTGATAGAGAATCAAGTATGGTAAATAGAAAATCAAACCATCAAAATATAAGACAACAAATAGAGGAGCTAGAACGGCAAGACTTCGAGGAGGAGAATCGGATAATAAATCATTGTTCGGGGATGCTTGTTGAAAGGAAAATCACTGCCACATCACATTATCAAGGAAGCTTGTCAAGTGCCAGCTCAAGCCTAGCATCGAGTCTAGCCTCTAGCTCTGAAACGATATCTAATATTTCTCATCTATCCAATAATGACTATAATCTTCCAGGATGCAGTAAATCTCTATGTAGTGATAGTAACGCAACAATTAAAAACATGATGCGTTCACGTAAATACAATCCTGAAGAAATGAAAAAACCGGACACTTATAAACCGGATTTCATGCAGAAGCTTCTCAGTAGCAATACTCAGGAGAAGAAAGATTTCCCAAAAGGGAAGATGTATAAAGCTGATGCGTTAATTTGCGAAGAGACGGAGGGCTGTGACGTGGACGGTAGAGGTGGGCCTTCCGGGCGGACCAGTTCCAACGCTTCCAGTATTGGCAGCTCTGGTTCGGATAACTCGAAGGACTTCAGCGTGCCGTCGACATCGAATGCGGAAAAGTTGCTGGGCCTGGATGACAGCAGAAGAAACGAGGCGGGTAGTTCTCAATCCACTGTGAGTGCTGTTTTTATTACCTATGACTTACCATCGATTGGTTTTCATTCTAATTTAACTCAATAATGTAACAGGAATATCAATGTCTTTATACAGGAAACGAGGGGTTAAAATAGACGATGCTAAAACAAATCATTTCCAGCGGACGCTGTAGTATGCTTAGCAACAGGATATTAATGGGATGATTTAGTTTCGTCGATGGGTTAAATGTTATAATTGTTAACATTAATATTATTAGGATTCATATTATATTGTTGTTTTAAACCCCATTGATTTTTCTGTGCTTAAACAAAAGCATTATAGAGTATTTGTACCTGTACCTATGTGTGTGTACCTGTGTATGTTTGAGAAATATCATCAATAGGTAGGTACGGAACAGACAAAATCGATTTTCCCTGCGCTTCATACCACAGCGGGACGACATAACTTTGCACGGCGTATTATTAAAATCGCTTCGTGAACGTAAAATTGTACTGCAAGGAATTTATCATCCGGAATTTAAAATATAGATAATAGTCTAGATCTATGTTTGGTGTCAAGTAGTAGTAGAGCACGGTTGCCCTCGCGCTTTAGTGGCAATTTGGTACCCAATTACCAATCATAAGACCCACTTTGTGGGAACATTTTGTGAGGAGTTCACGCCTGTCATTTCGTCTTTATTTAGCCTAAATTGAAATTAAGCTTACTTTATTCGACCACTTTCCAAAGAAGGAGTTTGTCAATTATGTTAAATGTCAAGTATGTTAATGTTCTCGAGATAAAAATCTCTTTATATTATTAAATGGATATCTTTACAATATAATGTCTCTACAGTATTCCTGTAAAATTAATAGAACATGTAAAACATTTTTATTTCAATTTCTAAACAACAGTTTATGTACGTTGTGACAAGGTCACAGAATGCACGCTGGGATGCAACTTTGTGGCACCTGCCATCCTGTCTGGCGGAGTGCGGCGTTCGTGCCTCTGACGGTGGGAACGGATGGGAAATTCGTTTCAAATGAATAGCGCACACATCCACATTTAATAATAACGCATTAACTCGTACTTTATTGTATACCGGTTAGTTTATTTACCGTGCGTATACATAATAATAATACTAGACATGTTTTAAATTTGTCGTGGTCATTATTTATACGTATAATTAGTAAAAATCACGGGATCTTACCACGTTTTATATTTATTTGCTGAGTGCAACCACCATGATCACGGGTAAACTGTCATCCGTGATCATGGTGGTTGAAACACTAAATATCGGGAACTCAGATCCTGTAATTTTTACTAATTATACGTATAAATACTATACATATTATAAAACTATAAGAAATAGAAATAAACTTTATTCAAATACAATTAATATGTATAAGCACTTTCAAAGGGATATTTTTTTACTCTTACCACTAGACCTAATAGGCCTGAGTTGAAAATTATTACTGGGTAACTTTATCATTTGTATTAGAACCCAAAATAATTATTAATAGAATTTGTCTCCGTTTGTACAAGCTAATTTCGGAAGCGGTATAATATCGGTTTTCATAGTTACATTATGTATATACATATATACTGTAACTATTGTGATGTAAGACTTAGAATTTAGTGTTTATTTTATTCCTGTCGGGTCGATTTATAAACAAACGTTATTCGGTTACGAAGTTGCGGGTTCAGCTGGTTTAATTATAAACTGCATTAACTCATACATTATTGTAGTCATTCAGGGCTGTCAACCTCAATACAGCCTCGTAAAAATAAATAAATAATCTGATAAAATCTCGAATATTACCTCAATTTCATACAGACGGCCTCGGCGGTTTAGCGGTGTATATCATCTTACTTCCGATGGTCACGGGTTCCGTTCTTCGCACTATGCAAACATTCATGAGTATATGTTTGTATTTGTCTGAGTATTTGTATGTATTTAAGTATATTATGACTTGTCTAGTACTAATAATAATACAAGCTCGACTTAGCTTGTGATTAGATGACGCTGTGGAAATTATGCAGGGTTAGTATTATTAATTTGCTTCTCTAACCTCATACAACATCGTGTTTGGTCCATTTCCTTATCTCATAATCTTATAAAAAAACTACAAGGAAGAAAATCGCGTATTCGTAAGAGTAATCTAGAACAGTTGGCATCCCTGGAATCATTATAGCGGATTACTTTGTTAACAAAGTGGAAATATGATACACAATAGGTAGGTTTGTAGAAGTGATTATATTTTTTATTTTGCATCGATTGTTTTCTTTAGTTATCTGTAGAAACGCTATCCCACGTGTGGTGGTCCCTACTGAAAACTTTCTGCTTTATCAGAATAGGATTTTGCTTAGGAATGAAATATATTATATTTGTACTATTTTGTAATCCTTACAAAGTAATGCTGAATAATGTTCTCATTGTAGTTCGACTATTTATAATAATTGCAAAAAAGATGTACTTAATATATGCTTTAAGAAAATGAATTTGAAATTCTGCAGAAAGTTATATTTTCAGCAAGTAGATTACATGGGCTGTATTCCATAAAGGCAATTGCGGGGTATTGTATTGTATGTTGGACTCTATCTCGGCATTTAGCATTTCGTTTGGGCCTTTGTACGTGTACAGCCGACTGCTACAGTAGCCACCCAAGCGCCTCCCAGAAACGAAACAGCCTTCGACTTTTTCACAGGCTTCATATGGATCGACTTCACCGTTCCAAGAATTTGTGTTTATAAACGGGTATTTCTATTATTAAGATACGAGGTTTCTTAATTGAAATGTATTTCTGTTTATTTCTTATTATTTCACAGTATATAAAGTGCTTTATTAGGTAAACAACTCAATTATATTTAACTAACTGATACCTGAGACTTCGCGAAGTGGAAATTAACTTTTTTTTTAACTGATTTGCAAGAGCCAATTTTTAACAAATGTGTTCTACTTATCAAATATGAAGTTGTCCAATTCAAAACTAATAATGACCTTTCAAAATGAGGACCAAATGAGGATTAATTTATTATAAAGGAATAGAATTTGGCACATGTGTGGTTAACCTTATTTGTTTTAGAAATTTAATCGCAGTTACAAGTATGAGCTTTTCGCTTACTAGAGCAATAAATGGAAATGCATACTAAGCGCAAGTGACCTATGGGTACAGGATAATGTTTTCTTCCCGTATTGTACACTGAGTGCATTTTTCTTTGCCCGTTCAAACATCAACGCGGTGGGCGATGATTTTAGCTGAATCATGTTCCAGTAACAACAGATATGTAATATTACCAAGCTTTCTTACTAGCAGTATTGTATTGGAAAATTCATTTCTTCACTGAACCGTATTCAAAGCTGTGGTGACAATGTTTAGTGATATTGCTGATTGGGCTTATGCTGTCTATCTGTGTGTGCTGGAGAATCGGAAACGGAATGCTGTAAGTTATTATTTTAAGGCTTTTGTACATAAGGAAAAATTTGCCAAAATAGAAACATATGCCAGGCATTTAAAGTCTTGTAAAGTGCATCCTGTATTCAGATTTATTTTCGTCTGTGCAAGAAATTCTATAGATTTTGTAATAAGAAATTGCTACGTTCAAGTCTTAAGTGCTTGAAAGGACTATAATTTAAAAGAAGCAATAAAACCTTCATTGAATAAGACTTCACTACTCCAGTGAAAAGTATCGTAGACTGAAAGCAGCAGCCAAAGCGCTTTGACTATAAAAACGTTTGACGGCAGCAAAATATTAAAAGACTATTTTAGTTATTCAGTTTAAAAAGCGTCTACGTTCATAAAATCTTGTCTATACAAATTTGTGAGTACAAAATGGAATAAAACCGTTAAAAGCGGCCTGACTGAAAGAATGAAAAGAATTTCACCGAACTAGATTTTGGACAAATTCGTTTTAGTGGACCTCTGTTTCAACTATTTCAGATTTGCTTGTTTTTTAAAAGGTATTTCGTTTGAAGGGTTAATAATATAGCATCAATGTCATGTCATGTTCATTTTAGTTCTGCGGAATGGTTATGTATATATATATTCTGGACTGCGTTGTGTAGTCTTTACACCCACTTTTCACACTTTTTTTTGGAAATACTTTTGAATTTTTTGCACACTTTGGAATTGAAACCCTACCATCGAAAACGTTCGATGGTAGGGTTTCAATTCCTCGCACATGCCGTTCGAGTCGAGTACGATTATTTGTATTTGTCTGGCTGTTTTCTAAGTATATTGCCTATGTATTTACAAATCATATATATTTAGGTATTCTACCAGTTGTCTAGTCTATGTAACACAAGTTCTGGTTAGCAAGGAACGTCGCAGTGTGTCCATGGTTATTATTATATGACACACACTGCTACTAGTAGTCGCTAAATGGTCGAAATAGTAAAAAAATACAAAATGGTAACAATAGTAGGTATATGCGGGCGTGTTTCAAATACGTAACGTAGAGTGTGTAATGTTTTTTTTAACGATTCAATATATTTTTATGCTTATATAAAAAAAATATTATCATTTTGCACTCTTCTATATAAACTATAAGTGTGCAATTTTAGTAAATTAGGCTACAGAGTTTTTCATCACGTATGCATGTGTTGACTCGTAACAACACTTCTTTTTTAATTAAAACCTAGAGAACGGGAGAATCTCTCGTTCCGAGGTAAACAAGTGGATGCACGAGATACTTCAAGCTGCCCTTTGGAGTAGTGGGGCGAGTGGGTCATCAGTAATTATCCGTGACACACTAACCTTAAACATATTTGCTGACATGCACTTTTGACCACACTTTGAATACTAGTACCAGTATCATTAATATTATTTTAGTAAATAAATTGTTATGTTAACCATTATGTAACCCGATAGTTGGTAGTTTTGATATCTTCTTAACTAATTTATACTACTATACATATTATTATGAATAGTAGTATGTTTAGAACTTTGTGTCGGTCTATATATGTATCTTTTTACGGACTTTAATATCGTGTATTATTTATTTTATCCAAAATCAAATCAAAAACCAATTATTCATGTAGGATATTTTGCCACTTTGAACGTAAAGTTTTTGTATCAAGTTTTTATCCCTACCGTCCAGTTCAGTATATAGACTCAATTGAGAATAACTGGCAAGAAACTAAACTGAATTTCTTAAGACCGAGTGTTTTCTAAAAATATGATATTGTTGCGGGTAACAGCTAACAATAAAGGTATTGTAGGTGACAGTACGAAAATAAGCTTGGTATTAAATGCTGCAATAAAGAGAGATCTTGTAAATGAAAAATAATAATAATAGAACTACTGTAAGAGAAAAATAACGGCGAATGACAATGAACAGAACACTAATATTTATTTTATAATAATTTAAAATACACATACCTACTATTCGTTTCATACATACCGCATATATATCATTTAGTCTTTGACTATAGAATATAATTACGGGCTATCTTAAAATTTAAATGGACAATTGCGATCCCGGTGATCTAGCGGGTTAGCATAATAGAATAACGCTGTCCTTCCAATAGTCGCGGTTTCGATTCCACGCACAAACAAATATTTATATGTCATAAATTACTATTACTGTTATGATTGATTTTCGACATCTGATTGTCCATTAGTCTGAATGCTTTTAATTTTAACATGATGGTAAAAGACAAAATCATTTCAGAACTACATGAGCCCGTACGGCGACGCCGATGATGATTCTGATGACGACGTCAACGAGGAAGCCTGGTGTACGTGCCTCTCGTCGCATGAGGTAAGCAAAACTTTATGTTCAGTAAATCTATTTACCTAACCTGTAGTTTTATTTCTTAAAAACATTGCAACCGACGAGGTGCTGTTTAAAAATAACTAATATGTATTCGACGCGATCAAGAAAATTTTATCTAGTGAAATATCAAGAATTTAAGGTTATTTTTGTTAATACAATAATGATGAAATTTGTTTAAAGTTAAACTTTATCTCACTATCATTTAGGTATTAATTCTCAAAATTATATTATTTTGGGTACTGAAAGAGAGGAATTTAATGATGTTCGTTAATTTCATTGTAATATTATAATTACAACGATTAACTATTTATTCTATTTATAGGACGACGACGAGGAAGAGGATGATGAACCCGATTCGGAACCTGAGAGGATTTGGGTGAGTTCTATATAATAATTCATTTCATACTTTATTTTTAGAACATAAGGTTCGTTTTTGCTCTAATATTCTATAGCTATGTACGGGAATTTAATGTATTGTCGCAAAAGATGAAAACATAGTATGTTTTCATCTTTTGCGACAATTGTTTCTACTTCAGGGTAAGTGCGGCACGTTACACCCGAATATATTAAATTAAATTTTATAATTAGTTTTTAATTTTAAAATAATAATATATACATATTCTTTCTTATATTTTTATTAACAAATATGATATTTGAATTTAATTAATTTAATTTAGTCTCGATACTGTTTTTTTGTTGGACGCGCTAGTCCCAAATTGTCATCTAGTCTCAAATCTAGCAGTGCTGAAATATTGTTGTAAATGTATATTTCATATATTTTTTTACAATATATAAAAAAAGAGAGTAGTCGGACTTATTAGGAATGTGTTCACGTAATAAAAATACGATAAAGCCATTCGTTCTACCTCTATTCAGAGTGCTTGCGGCTCCCCCTTTTAATTACGGTAGCAATAGTTTCAATCAAAATTTTGCCGTAAATTACTACGTTCCGCTTTACTCAGCTTACTCCAGTAAATATTTTTTTTTTCATTCATACAATATCTTATACAATAAAAAAAAATACTGTCTTGGATTGTTGATACGTAGCTAAAGACAAGTATATTGTTTTTGGTAAAAATCGAGTTTTGCTGTTAAGTGTAATTATAAAATAAACTTGTTTAAACAAAACCTGACTAGTGTCAAACGTCGATATTAGTCGCCTTGCCCCGTGAACAAAATATCATTGAGTTTAATTAGTTATTGTAAAAAAATTAAATAGTTTTGTATGGAGAATGTCGGGGACATGAAGCATGAATTGAAATGTATTCATGGAAGTTGCACCCGTACATCATTGGAAGATCTAAAACAATATATGAATACTCGTGACACTTAGTCATTTAATAATAATTTATAATTGTTATATTATAATAGGAAGAAATAGGTAAATGAAATAAATGTAATTTGTTTGAGCCAGATTGTGAAGAGATAAATAAATAACCTTGGATAATTAACACAACGCCATCTAGTCCCACGGTAAGCAGAGCTTGGTTTATGGGTACTAAACAACTGATATAAATTCTTAGATTTTTTTGTAAATACTTAGACTATATGCAAAGAAAATACCCAGACTGATATAAACAATGATACTCATGAATACAAATGTTTGTACCGAGGAATTGAACCCGCGGCCAACGGTAGTAAATAGTGTGCTAAACGGCTAGACCACCGAGGCCGTTATATGATATTAAATACAATGTAGAATGTCTATGCTTATACAAGACGTCAATATGTGATATATGTGTGAAAGTGAATCACAATGGCTGAACGGCCGTTGTTAGGTGTCGCACAAAAGCTTCAACCGTTTCTATACAATTTAATACCGGCTGATACCTTCTTTCATGCCATTTGTGTGTATAAAATGTACCCGACTTCTGTATTATCTTGCAACGTTCTGGACATTGGGTGTCGTATCTGTATATAATATACTAGCTGTGCCAGCTGTTTCACCGGCATCAAATTTATAGCCTATGTTTTATTCTTATGCTATTTGTACTGTAAAGTTTCATTAAAATGCGTTTACTAGTTTTTGCCTGAAAGGGTAAAAACATCTAATAATTCATCTATACTTAAAAACTTTCGCGTTTATAATATTGATAGATAAGATAAAGCTGAGGGTTTTGTTTGTTTATTTGAGAGTGCAAATCTCTTAAACTACCAGTAGGATTTAAATAATGTTTTAAGTATATCTGTATATTAGTCTAATCTAAATAGTATCTAAATAGTAGAATTTAAGCTTAGTCTAGAACTAGACTACGCTGTGTGAATTGTCCTGAGTTATTATTATTACATTATGTGTTTTTTTCCAAAATAATTGAGTTTAAGTTTTTCTATACGTAGTTACATATACATAGTTCAAGCTCTGTTAGTTGAGGACTAGATGGCGCTGTTTTCTTTTTAGTCACTTATTTATAAATAAATTTAAAACAATTAGAATTGTGGGTACACTCTTGTGGGTAATGAATGTTTTTATCGTTATTGCACACCAAACCAAAATTATTTGTACTAGATAATTTGATGATTAAAGAATGTTCAATGACATGTATTCTTTACACATTTATTTATTTAGTCTATATTGCATATTGGTATTTTCATATAAGTACTAATGTATTTATTTATCAGTAGTAGAAATTTTTTAGGGTATGTCAAATATTTGATATATGAATTTTTTATTATGAACAGTGTTTTATTTATCCGAATTCAGAAATTCAGACACGAAAATGAAATATTGGCCAATATATTAACGAAATATACGTACGTCACGAAATTTCGTCCAGAAACAATAGATATTTTTAGGGTATGTCCAATATTTGGTACAGGATTTTTTATTATGTCCAGTTTATGTATTTCGTAATGATTTTATTTCTTCGAATGTCCAATACTTGCTTTTCATGTGTGAAACTAAAAATAAATATTAAAAGCTAGTACTGCGATGGACGGATAAAATAACATCATTTTGGTTTGCATCCCTGATAGGGCTGAATAAATGTTTCTAAATTTAGATTGCGTAAATAAATTTTAATGGATGTATACAAAGATTTATTTATGTAAGTGATTCGATCTTGAATTATGTAATGGTACCAATGCATGATATCTAAATATGTAATGTTATCAATGCATTGCAATGGTTTATTCATCTCGACACTCTAAATACATAAAAACAAGACAACATGGTACTGCCTGTGTTTGTCTTTATTTGTATCTGGTAACGTCAACTGTGTGTTTAGGGAAAAAGAAATTAATTTTAAATAATATAAAGTTTGAAAATAGCAAATTATTAACATACAGTTAGTTAATAGGAGGCACAGGGTTAGGCACGCCTACCACCCTATTACAGCGTATGGTGGTAGCATTAGGGGCTGTTTATAAATTGCGTTACACTAATTACGTGATTTTTTAATCTTCCCGCGTCTTTGTCACCGTTTGTCACATTTATCCTTAGTGTGCCATCACATATTTTTGTTAATAGTTCGTGTTTTAATATAGTTAAATATTTTAGATATTTAAAATATGACGTTACGAAATTTAGGACGCCTCTTACCTCGCTGTCACACAATGTCGCACTATTGTTTCCTGCCCCCTCCCTAACGTGACTTAATTGTTCGATGTGCCCTTACATCAAAGGGTGACGTGTCGGAACTCGCGAATCAAACGGCCGATCGTATCCACCCGCGTAATAAAGGCATACAGAATGTGCATGCACGTAATCGTTGTCTATAGGCGAAATTACAAGGTGCAGAGGCGTAACAATTTAGTTTCAGGAATGGCGACGAGGCATGAGGATTATCACGGCCATCACGTGACTATATGCATATTGCTGTTCATGTATATGAGAGACGGTTGCCATTTCCATTAGGTGGGCGGGCAGATTCATTGATATTAAGTCACACAAAACAATGTAGTTGCATAGTATTGTCGCGTTGTCGACTGCGTGCCATAGAAATGGGCGCGTAGCCGATTGATTTTTACTCGGTTGTCACATTGGAAACCTTGTTCTAAATTCAAACTGTCAATATTTATTTTTACTATTCAACTGTTACAGCGTTTTTTTTTGGTTTGTTTTATCCTTATAGGAAAGGCAAAGAGTCTAAGCTTATACAGCCGTGTTGTTACGTCATTTTATTTCAACCTATGTTCTTAATTACAAAAGTGTATAAACACTACAACGGATTTCATGACGGAGGAGGTTAGTTTATGGATATTTACGAATAATATATCGGAATACTACTGTGTAAATACTTCATACTTCCTTTCCTTTATAAAAATAATATCTCAAGTATCTCTAAATATTAAACATAGTGACAAAATTAACTCTGTTATCAGTGGACAATAGGTAAATTATTTATTTACATCTTCAGCACACATACAATAATAATTGATTTCACCTATTTCAGACGCCAAGGAACCTCATTTATATTTTCGGTTGGAGGGTAAGATACGGCAGTGAAAATTACAGGAAACTAATATATAAGATCATAGTCTTTCGGAATGGTAAAATGTGAGGGATGCAGCAAGCGTCACTTAATGACGTGATGTACGTAGGGCTGTTTTCTTGTATAGACGGCGGTTATCACCTATCAAGTGCATCTCCAGTTAGCCATTCTGTTACCAAAAAGTCTAAATATTTAAAAAATAAATTTGAAATGTCTAACTTTAATTTCAAATCATCAGAATCTCAGTAAATTCATGGCGTACTTACTCCTTACAGTAGGTACTTATCTGTTTGATCTTTCTGATCTCTGAAATGACAGGACCGACTTACAGGACGACTTACTTACGGACTTTATTTCTTGTATTAAAAAAGTATAATACCGCGCGAATGAAGTCACAGATAACAACTAGTGTAGAATAAATCTTAACGCACCTTCATGTATTGGTACGTTTTACAGAGGAAAAGGCGTTACGAACCACCTGTGCCACCGCCACAGTCGGCCAAGAAATTCTGCCATGAGGGTTCAATTGCTAACGCTGTCGGTCAAGATGGTAACTGGCATAACATCCAAGGCATCGCCCCCGCCGCCGTCCAAGGTCCACCTGAGATGAAGCAGTGGCTAAACAAGTAAGTGTTTTGTACTAGCCAGTCAATGTATCCATGTCTCGCCTGGATTGTATATCATCAGTACCAAATTTTATATACAACTAAGGTGACAATCAAGCCTGTCTGATGGTATACGGTTTCCGTGGTCTATGGACGCCTGAAATACCTGGGGTGTCACGTGCGTGTTGTATACTCTGAAGAATCCTGAATATACCCTTCTTGATCGATTCACCGATTATTTAAAAAAATGTATTTATATCTCTATTAAATAGTGTAGGGGTTGGTGATGGAAGGGTGAAAATGTATCATTTTAATGCCACAACGTAACAAATAAAAATTCTGTCAAAAACCTGCCGTGTATTCGTCTAAAATTTCATCAAATTCGGTTAAGCCGTTTCGGAGAAGTATGGCATGTAGCATTTACATGATAATTTATATATTAGAGATAAAAGTTTATAGGATTTTGTACAGTGACAGGACGTCATGACTAACATTTTTTTTCTTATAAGTAAATCTTTTGTGTAAAGGTAAATGTCACATCATATACATCCTATATGGACCGTTTCCGTTTTCGTTTATTACTTATAAGGCAATTATAACTGTTAAAAAAAAAACAAAATCAATCTACAGGGTAAAATATTAGTTTTTCGCAGACCTCTGTCGATAGTTCAATGAGGGATCTTGTAAAGATTCTGCAGGAAATTATTGATATTTTAAATTCAATAGAATCGGTCACATTGAATATCGGTACTGAATGAGAGGTTTCTATTAAAATTAATTGGAATGTCTACTCTGGAATTGAAATGAAATAAAATCACATTTCCAATTGAAATGAATTGCGTTCTCTATAAAGAGTTTTATATTTTTAAATTCCGCAACTACTTTACAAAGTGCTTTTGCCTCTAAAGCACTCAAAGGATTTTAATTTACGTTTTTCAGTGACCCTTTTTATGGGATGACCTCTACGTACATTTTAATTTACAGAGTTGTTGTAAAGGGGGTATTAGTGTTCATGTTATTGAACGACTAAAAAGCGAGAGAGACTCAAAATAAAAAAAATAAGTATACTAAAAATAAATATCTCTCCAATTAGAATAGAAAACTGTGCCTGAAATTATAGGGTTGTTGTTTGGAGCGTACTAGGGTTAGTGTTTATGGAAGTGAACGCCTCAAAAGTTATGTAGAGACCTCAAAATATAAAATCAACGTAGTACACGTAAATATTTCTCCAATTCAAATAGAAACCTGTGCTTGAACAGCCTGAAATCGTAAAATATTAAGTCAAGTATATTTTGTAGTTTTGTAGGCAGCATTCACAGAGTGAAGAATGCAATGACCTACATCATCTGACCTACATATGTCTCTGTAAATATACAAACAGTACATACATGTATATAAAAGTATGAACAATATTATAAAACAAGTCTGCTATAACATGAAACGTGCTTATGAACAAAACAAACTAGATTTACGCGTGATCAGTACATTCTGCAGTAGGTCGAATATAATATAAATAAATAATCAGACACATGATCAGAACAGTAGCATATTAAACAAATATCGTTTTTCCTGTATAAGTATGGAAGATGCTAGGTTAATACTTAATATATATATATATTGTATTATTATCTGTCTACTTCATAAATGTGGTATTTAGGAAAGGAATAAGTTCTGAGAATAGTGTGTAAGAAAATCATACCTAAAAAAGCAATATTTAGGCATATGTATGTTTTTATTTTGTTATCGACATATATATTTTCTGAAACAATATTGATCGTATGGACACGATTGAAGATTTTCTCTTTGAAGATTTATGGTGCACTTAGTAAAGTAATGATTTATAGAAGAAAGAAATGAATAGGAAAAACTTAAATAGGAAATCTTAGAATGTAGAAATTTTTTAAAGGAAGGATTGGTGGTTTTTGTTAATAATATTAAAGTAACAAGAACATACATCTAATACAATAATATACAAGTTTATAATATCAGAGAGAGCTATATTCTGTAATCAAATTTGTCAGTGATCTCTACAGTAATTGCATTGGTTAGTTAGTAGTTGCAACCGGAGAGGCTACTTGATAGTTGTTTAGTTTTGACGAAGTTAGACCACACAGCGAGGCACACGTATTAAATGTCAACCACGCGACTAATTGAGAATTTGCCCTGTAAGCAACTTCATATTTAGTCTGCCATACCGAATGACAAGTAATATGAACATACCTAAGGCACTTTGTAGCGTTTAATACTCAGTCTGGTCTTAATGAAGTATGCATTTAAAGTACCTATTGAACGTAGAGTAATGTTCTCTCATCTTTTTGAAGGTATTGTTTTCATAGCACATGGAGAAATTTTGAGTCATTTTTTGTTAAGAGCACTCGTGACGACACGTTTGCATATAGAAGAAGACGTGATGGTTTGCATCGCTCTGTTAATTGTTAATCGCTATAATTGTTCTTAGTACGATAGCAGGTTGTAATATAGATTAATTTCTTATAGGGGCGGTGCCAATTGTTATTAGTATTAATTGCCCTCTGTGGCCTGACATTGGCGCGTTCATTGTGTGAGAAAAATATACAGAAAACTTAAGCCTGTGTATTATAATAAAAATTAATTTTATTATTATTTATTTATAATAGTTGTTTTTTATTAAGATTTAAGTGAGTTCTTATTTTTAGGTTTTACTACTTTACGAATATTAATGAAAAATCGGTGGTAATAATATTTTTCTATTTTAGTTTCATTAGGTAAATAACAGTTTCTTTGAGACCTAACTTTTCGAAGATTGAAGCGAATATAGCGCGACGTCGACTAACGTCTAGGAACGTCTTCTAAGCTAAACAAAAATACAACATTAGGATGTAGATTTATTAGTTTTATAATAATTTAATACTTTACTATTAAACCTCAATAATGCACTGAATCAAAGTTGTAATTTTGTGGGTGATATGATATTTACTAGATCATCTAGTGTGCAATAAACATAAATATATTAATATTAATTGACCGGCGGTGTATGCGACATGGTACACGTGTACAGTTGTAATTCGTCGTCTATTGATAATACTCAAACGACAAAAATAAATAAAGCATCTATAAAACGCCATCTATTATTTTGTCAATATATTTATAATTAAAATAGTAGATGCCATTTTAAAAATAGTTGATCCTATTACATTATATTCTATTATATATTATTAGGGTCTATTTTTAACTTTGTTTAACATATTTGATAATTTCTCCCTAACGTGAAATCACTATGAGCACCTTAATCTTTTGACGCTCCTACGATATATCTCCCGTTTGTATAATGTGCACAATAATCATTTGTTTAGTGGTTTTGTCGTACAAAAGAGACGATTATACAAGTTTATTCAAATGTATCGTATTGATCACAGGTTTCAATCATGGTCAAACAATGAGAAGTTCCAAGCTATTGATGCTCTGATCAGTCGCTGCCCCAATAGTCACGTCCGGTACATGATGAAGGCCATCGAACCGCTGTTCCAGCGGGATTTCATCTCCCTGCTGCCGAAGGAGCTGGCTCTCACTGTGCTGGGTTACTTGCAACCTAAGGACTTGTTAAGAGCCGCGCAGACTTGCCAATATTGGAGGTAACGTTCATTTAAACAATAATCTTTACTACTTGTGAATAATATTAAAAAGATGTAAGATTGTGAGCTTGGTAGGTGGTTCTGTAACTACTGAATCGATTGTGAAAATTCTTTTACTAATAGAAAGCCACGTTACTTATAAGTGTCATAGACTTTGCAACATCACGCTGCGACTAATATATGCGGAACTGCAATAAAAAGTATTGCAAAAACGAGGAAAATGTGCCGCAGGTATACTTTGTACAATGTTGTCAGCGTGGGAGATTGCCTTATAAGACGTGTATTGTTAAAGGTATTGATAAGGCATCGAGATTGTGTGTATTGGATAAGGCATCCAAATTACGGAGTATCTAGACATGACATCCTACGTATGAGAGATACCATGAATGATCTTGAATATGAATATATATACCATGAATATATATACATATATGGTGCCCCATGTATATATAAATATATATAAACCACCACTTATCATCAAGATGGGCCGCCATCTTATTTGACTTATCAATTACATAAAATGTTAATATCTTGTAGCGAAATAATGTTAATTGTTAATTATTGGAAAATAAAATATCAATCGAATTGGGTTTTGATAGTAAAAATATTCAGAATCTTGAAGAGCAAATATGGACCAGTACAATTGTTTATTTATATAGCAGACTCAAGTCCGCTTGAGAATAGATCTGTCTGTATAAATAATTCTGTCTATCTGTCTTTAGATTCTATAGATATCGATCTAGAGTGGCCTCAAGTTATATACAAATATAGAGAGAGATAAGTCTAAAGGTGTGCTAGAAGAAAAATTGCAGTGCTCCATTTGATCTACCCTGTTCTTGTTGTATAAAAATAATAAAGTTTTCGTATACTTTTAATAAAATGTATGTTTTTAAATCGCAATGGCATACACACATACTGGCGAAAACTTTTTTTTCTATATAATCTGTTTAACCTGACTGACCTACAGATTCCTGGCAGACGATAATCTTTTGTGGAAAGAGCAATGTCGACGCATCGGCATCACTACACTCAAGAAGATGCCGCGGTCCATTCCGCGCTTCACCAGTCCATGGAAGGCGGCTTATATGCGTCAGTACTTGATCGAGAACAACTGGCTGTATAAACCGGTTCATAATCCCATCATAATGCGCGGTCACGATGACCACGTCATCACCTGTCTGCAGTTCTACGGGAATCGCATCTTGAGTGGCAGTGATGATACTACGCTGAAAGTGTGGTCGGCGGTAACAGGAAAGGTGCGTTGGATTTTCGACACATTGCAAATAGGATTAAGATTTTTTTTCAATAGAACAATATTTTTGATTTATATAGATTGGGACTGAAAGGCACTGAGTGATAATGTTATTTATTTAGATGATCCCTCATTTTTAGCATACTGCATTATATAATACAAAGATTTATGTTAACTAGTGGTCACCCAGTGTTCGAAATTAGACTGTAATTAATTAACATACAACAAGACTATAGACAAATGCTATTAAAGCCAAAACAATATTAATTTATACTCAAATTTACCTCACATTTTAACAACAAAAGTATATATGCATGTATATGTAATGTTTTTTAGTTAGAAAACCGCTAGAGCTACCGAGTCCGTCACTATTTTTATGCCCATATACATGAAAACATTTTGTGTTATGTTTGTCCCTTATTTTTGACAGTGTCTGCGTACTTTGGTCGGACACTCGGGCGGTGTGTGGTCTTCTCAAATGGTCGGAGATCTGGTCATCAGCGGTTCAACCGATAGAACTCTCAGGGTGTGGAATGCTAAGAGTGGGCAGTGCTTGAAGGTTCTCGCTGGCCACACCTCCACTGTGCGCTGCATGCATCTGCATCAGGACAGGTAAATGGCAAATATATAATCTGTATATAATTACTACACTTGTTTTAGGAATCGTCCATCCATCCATCTACCAGTATTTTACAACTATCTCATTTTAGCTACCTCTTTACTACTTTTGTACTTTAAATTAAAATTTGTGAGATGTGCAAAATGGAGTGAAAATTGTAATGATCTTATATAATTTTACCCGCGATTTTGTTCACATGCCATTTTTTATTTAATGAAACAATTAAAGTTTCTAAAATTAATGTCCGTATAATATTAGCTATCTGCGAAATAAAGTCCCGTCAAAATAGGTCCATGACGTATAGAAACAGATATGACATAAATACACTAAAACGAATAACTAGTTGATGTAAGTACTATATACTTATATCAAATAATATTTTTTTCTGTTAGTCTGTCTATCTGTTTATTTCTTTGTATAGATGACTACATTACTTCACTGTTCTGCTTCTGTCTACTCTGTGGTTGTCAAACATTCTAAGCCATATCATATCAGTATATTTATATAAAGAATAGGTAAATATAGTGGTATATATAATACAATATAGGTAGGTAATACAATAATAGTGGTGTACTCTATTCCTGTTACAGTAATATATATTCAGCTAAATGTAGGAATATCAAATGTTGTTTCCACCTCAAAGTAGACAGTTGACAACACCTTTGCGTACCTTGCCTATATATATATGATTTCCCAACTAAATCTACATGTCTATACAAATGCACTATTTCCATTTGTATGGATACATACTATGATTGTATACCAAGCCTGCTTAATGTACGTTTATCTTCATGGCTACCTTCGTAACGTAATCATCTATGGCAAATCAGTTGAATTGCGAAGCATGTTTGTAATTTATGCGTAATTATTGTTCCTGCCGCATACACGATTGGTTTTCATTAATTAATGCCCTTAATTAATGTTTAATTAATATTAATGATGTTATGCACATTACAATTTGATTTGTTGAATGTTTTCGTGGTATGTGACTCTGCATTTTTTGTATTATATTCACATCATAAGGCGTTTCATTTTATATTATATATATAAGTATAATAACAATATTCATGGACAATTCACACAAAACTATCTAGTCCCAAGCTAAGCACCATGGGTACTAGATATAAATACTACGATATTTGTTTTATAAATACATAAGTAATATAAATAGAAACCACCTAGACCGACCTACAAACAATCATACTCATGAATATAAATGTTATTACCGTGCGAGCAATCGAACACGCGACCATCGCAAATAAAGCGGTGTGATAAACCACTAGACCACCAACCTCGTGGCCTTATATATATTTATATATGTATATAATACTTCTATATTTAAATATATGTAATTCTTTTTATCACTATTTCGGATACAGAACCGGCCTGAAATAATGGTATTTCAGTTATGAATTTTGTAATAAACTTACTTATTGTAAATAGAAGTTTTTATTTTAATTGAATTTTTATTCATCTTTTTATAGTTTCATGCTGGTTCTATATGAATTTCTCACTAGTAAGCAATACAATTATGCTATCGCTAAATAGTGAGACATTCGTGCTATATATGTACTCACAATTTTGAAGCATGTCGGTACAACTAGTATTCTGTTTTGTACTACTGTGTAGTAATTAGATTGCAATGCGAATATCATAAGCTTTGTATATGAGCATGTTTACATTCTATTATAAATAATATTAATGTTTCTTAATGCATGTGCAAATAATCACTTCAGATTATTACTTTAAAGCTGTGCCCGTTGATACCGCATGAAATTTATAGCCTATATGTTATTCTGATGTATAAGTTATATTACTGTATAACTGTCATCAAAATTCGATCCGTAGTTTTTGAGTGAATATTTTAATAACCATCCATCCATATATATATATAACCAATTCAACCAAATTAACCAAACCTATGTACATTACTTAGTATAATACAATAAAAAAATAATATGTTATGTTATGTAAGTAATATTTATTATTTAATGCCATGCATCATATATTTCTTATATACTAGATACGAATGTATTTATATTGACACCATAATTTACATTTAATATAAGATTATTAAAAAACTATGTTTCTAGCAGTGCTGTAGATTAAAGATTGTGCAAAGAGATGCGGGGCACAGCTAGTTTTTTATATTATTTTGTATCATATTTATTTCATATTTTTATGTCTTGATTATATTTACTGTACATTTTATATATGTGAATTTTTTGTGGCACATTACGTATTTGCTTTTGTAATGCTAACTATTTTGTTTCCATTTCAAGCTTACAATTTTATGTAGATTTATCTACAAAGTAAGGTAAAGGCAAAATAGTAGTAACGTATTCATAATTTTCAAAAAATATTAGCATCTGCACTACTTTTCTGTATAAACGAATAGTGTGCGAAATTTCATATTCTTGTCTAGTCTGCGCATTTTTCTTAAAAAGGGGTACAAAGTTTTGTCTCACATATTAATATGTAGATTAATAAATCGACTGCAGTTTTAAGTTAAATTACATTTGTAGTGAATATTTTGATGGTCATTTGTTTTAAATCCACCTTTGTCTTGTTCTAGGGTGGTATCTGGTTCCCGGGATGCCACACTTCGCGTGTGGTCCATATCTGAGGGGCGGTGTGTGCGCGTGCTGGTGGGGCATCTGGCAGCGGTCCGGTGCGTGCAGTACGACGGCAAGGTGGTTGTATCCGGCGCGTATGACTACTTCGTCAAGGTCTGGAATCCGGACACTGGCGAGTGTCTCCACACGTTGGCCGGACACACCAATAGGGTGTACAGCTTGCAGGTACTTGTTTTTTTTTAATTATTGGTATATTTTATGGCATTGGAATATCAAATAACGGCTCGCATCAATGCTTAATTGCATTAAGCTTTAGCATTTTTAACTTCTGTATGTTACAATTTAGGTGGGATTTGTAAGAATCTTCGAATATTATATGTACTTTATTATGTACAGTGTACCTATGCAAATAAATAATTTCTTTTTATTTCATTAATTGTTGCATATATACGCTTATCATGTGTTGTAATCCAGAGAATTGAGTTGTCATGCCTTTTAAACTATTATTTCATTGTTTTAAAACATTCTTAAATGGACACTATTTTCCGCATATAGCGTCGCTTTAAAACATTGTAAAATATATATTTACTGTTTAGTTGACAGAGTCAGTTCTAAAATATGTTCTCATTTTCCGTATATAACATTGTAAACAAAACATATTTAATGTTTAGTTCGATGGAGTGCACGTAGTGAGCGGTTCTCTGGATACGTCGATCCGTGTGTGGGACGTAGAGTCGGGTCAGCTGAAGCACACACTCACTGGCCACCAGTCGCTGACTTCTGGCATGGAGCTGCACTCCAACATACTGGTGTCAGGGAATGCTGATTCCACCGTCAAGGTCTGGGACATCACTACAGGCCACTGTCTACACACACTGTCCGGTAAGTTATCATACAGTAACATCATTAAAACATTAAATAGAACTGACTAATATTTATTTCAGCAAATAGAATATATGGAGACATTGTTGTTTCAATGTCAAAGTCGTTTGAGTGGTTAGCTCTGTCTTACTAATTCTGCATCTAACGTTGATTTTAAAGTTATTTTCTATCATAAAGGTGAGATGGCACTAAAATTGAGAGAAAACAATTGATATAATTGTAGTAATGCAAAAATTTGCATGATGTTTCGCAATCGTTTTTTTAACACTAGTAAATACTAAGTGCTGATTGTTAATAATTTGTTTAAGCAGCAATTTTTTTTTTATTTAATTGTATTTCTATTTATTTTATTTTTCTTTTTATAATTTAGCAAAGAAATTTTATTAAATATGTTATTGGGCAGTATCTGATAAAAGCTGAGCTACTACTATTTGAGTGAACTATGATATTATTTTTTGCCATCATCACATTTTTTTTGTAATTAGTTTATAAGAATTATTTTTTGTTTCAGTTGCTTATATCGCTGTAGATTGTTGCTTTTATTCTTGACTACAATCTTGTATTCTGCCAGTCTAAGGATCAAAGGCTCAGATCAGGATTTTTAGATTTTTTTATGTTTGTAGGTAATATCCGATGGACAAAATAGATGATACAATAAAGTTGTTATTTTGTCCAATATGTAGTGATTGCTACTATTGTATTAATATGGAATTGGCCACTGCCTTTATTTCTTTCTAGGGCATTGTGATAAAGATACCTATGACAAAAATCTTACGACAATAGTGAGGCAATAATTTCATATGCAGGACTAGAAGTTCCAATGACCTTCTAATATCACCTACAGTAGTACTATGACTCTTTATTCTAGTCAAGCTAGTCTTATTATACGTCTTCGGTATTTTTAAAACAGTATTTTGATGACTATAATTAGTGAACTAAAATAAACAATATGATCTAAAATTTTAAACAGAAATACATTGTCATGAAAAAAATTAATTTATTACCTAAAATACAAACTGGCTAATTTCAGGTCCGAACAAACACCAGTCCGCTGTTACTTGCCTACAATCCAGTAACCGTTTCGTAATAACCTCCTCTGACGATGGCACTGTCAAACTCTGGGATCTCCGCACTGGAGAATTCATCCGCAATCTCGTTGAGCTGACTTCCGGCGGATCCGGCGGAGTTGTATGGCGGATCCGCGCATCTGCCACTAAGCTGATTTGCGCCGTCGGCTCTCGTAACGGCACCGAGGAGACTAAACTCCTGGTCCTCGACTTCGACGTTCCTGGTGCATGCCGAAAGTGTGATGAATAGCATCGACTTAATCGACGCCTGCTGCGTCGCTACGCTAACATGTACGCACCGTGGCATTGTTAAGCCATTAATCGAGATTAACAATCGATAATCGATCGATTGTCATAAATTCCTTCACTGGTAGACTACCGCAATATTTTTTTTGATACATGTCAATGGAATGGTGGTCCCGGCTGCGGTAATGGTGTACGCTGACGGGGCACCAGTGAATGATGTAAGGGTGAAATCGGGTCGCTTCTCCGTCGTGGCGAACTCAATAAAATGTTTGTCACAACGGCTTGCGGAAGACAGATTGCTAGGAATGGGGTCATAAAACCCAATTGCTATCAATCCCCACTCCGCTAGTGTACAGATAGCCCTATTGTTGCTGGTTGTGACGTATCCGAATGAGTTTCAGTACGTTATCGGACTCGTGTGTGTAGTAGCAGTGTAAATAATACTCGACGTGGTAGTTCACCAGTGCGGGCAGTGCAGATTAGTTAGTACGGTGCGGTGCGGGCACAAGTGCAGGCGACCATCATCCAGATCCCACCGGACTGCGGTAATGGGGCGTAATGTTCACATGGACCCATAATAATAATACGTGTAAATCTCGACACTCACAACATTTAGCGTTCAGTTCAGTTACAGTTTAGTATAGTGTTCGTCTATAGATAGAAATGGTGGCTACCGACCATCTCGCATTGCCAAATTGAAACATATAAACTTATATATTCCATTTATCCCAAAGAATTAATGAAAACAAAATTGGATTTTAGCTCTAAGTTATTTTATAGACATCCCGCAACTTGTTTTACTTCGAATATGTGTCTATATTGATTTGTTTAATTCATATTTGCATTTCGCATTGTGTTGTCCCATAATATTCATGTGACTTCAATTTGTTTTATAATTATTCCAATTATACTATTATTTTAATCGACATTCGTTTCTTATTATTTTATTTTTGGTTTTAACTATTTGACATTCAATTATTTATATTTTACTTGTATAATAATTTCTTATCCTTACATAATTATTTTCAATATATCCTGTATAATTATGACGGTAAAGTATATATTATAATCTGTAATCGTCGTCTTACCATAGATTCATTGCAGATTACTTAATCGTGAATTATAATTAAGTATTTTATCAACTTAACATGATGAATATTTAACAATACTCTTTGCCGTTCAGACGTGAAGTTGGTAATATAACCACTTGAATTAATAGCCAACATTCACTGTCCTGGAGGCAATATGTACTACATCAATAGTAGTAAGTATTTAAAAAAAATATCCCAATATTTATATCCAATATCTATTTGAAAATATAATCTTGTATATAAATTGTCTGAAGTAAACATTTGAGGTATTGTCTATTCAGTACATTCAGAGAACCTAAAATGGCCACTGGTGGATTATACCAAATAGGGAAATTGTTAAAGGAATCTCATTGTTAAAAACAACACTTATGTAGTGACCCACTATTGCGATTTACGTAGATTTAAAACGAGATCAATTGCCAATTTGAATCGCTTGATTCTATTTCTAATTTCAAAGTCGGCCATTTTGGTCTCTCTGGCCAGCGAGTCGACTATTTAATAAGCAATTATACACCAGTTTACATATATTTAATTCACTAAATAATAATTATGTAATCCCAATAGCCGATAGAGTGTTAAGTCCATATTATAACATTGGAAATTGTAATCTGTAATGATAATGAACAAGTAATCTAATATTTACTCCGTGTCATCACTCAATATTTGAACTGTAGTGAGTCTTGTACTACATAAATGTAATGAGGGCTGCATATGTAAAAAATCCAAGATGACTTTAATACTAATTTTGTTTTATGAAATACTTTGTGATGTTTAATTCTTTAATTAAGTTTAATAATAATTAGATATTTTATATTGATTAAATAATATAATTTTATGCGGGTTTATAGTTTTTTTATGTTAATGTGTATTACAAACCTTGTAATTTTTATTTTAAATGATGTCAATTATGTGTATATTTTGTATGATTACACATCTTGGTTTTTTTGTATATCAGTGCATAAATGTAGAACTTTCTATTATATATAAGATACAATAACAAGTATTATTCTGAATTTAATAATATCACACATTAATGATAAATGTTATAATTTACGTCTATTTCTTGTAATTGATACTAGACACATTTTGCGTACATGCTATTATGATCTTTTAAAACTGATATCACAGAAAATTGTATTCTTAGTTTTATTATTTTATCATATACTGAATAATAATAAAGTTGTAATACCTAATAATTTTCATATATATAATACAATTCAACAATATTTACAAATAATGAAAGTATGATCTCCTATTGAATGTATCGTATATTAGATACGAAATATATATCTTTTCGTATATCGTAGTACCACACGGCCCATAATAGGGTGTTTTTTCAAACTTCCACTTCTTGGCAGGGTCAAGTCTTGTTATAGTAAAGACTTGCCACTGATATCTTAGTTACTGTAGTATTTTTCAGTGTCTGTATGTAATTTATCATCAGTATATGGCTAAACTACTCTCGTATTATGTTATATGATACAGTAATATCAGTAGGAAGTGTCTGTGTAGGAAACTTATTATAATAATCACAATAATATTCATAATACTTCTACTTAGTAACTCTGCAGTATTTTTATTATCAATCTTACAATTTATTCTAATAATAATAATAATTATGTCTGAACCGGTCGCTTATGTAAATAATATTCAATCAACATTTAATGTATCATTACTCTGCAACTATGTGTAACTGTTTAAAAAAAATGATTGTAATGAATTTCCATCTGGAAGTCACGCAGACAGTGTATTTTATTTTGTTTGCAACTTCTCTTATTTGGATACATTTTATACCATTAATTTTGTTTGGGATTAGACTTGTCTGATCCCGTTTTTTTATACATTTTATTCTATCATTGACTGTGTTTTATCCAGGTACACGCCGGTCACTATCACAACTACATTAATATATTTAATTTATATTTATTACAATTATGCCAATTAATTTAATTGCTAAAGGGAATATACAACCTTTTTATGCACAATCTGATAATTCTGTAATCAACTCACTTTAACTATACTAAGTTTTAAAAAGTTATGTTATTTAGTTTAATTAATTCTTCAAACAAAACAATAATTTAATTTAATAATTCTGAATTATATTTGTGTCTCCATGTATATTATGTTGGTGCCATGCACTTACGAATTATGATTTTTTATTTAAGTCATATTGTAACGTTATTTCACGCGAGGCTTCTCGTAAAAAGTCGAATACCAACACATTAATAATATTATAGTAATCTGTATGTTCCTTAATTTGTTAAGTTATTTTTAATCTCTTGTGTATTTCACTCCATTTCTTCTTACTTGTCTTATTTGGTCAGTAATTATGAAGTCTCTAGAAATATGAAAAACCCTCGTCAGTAGATGCAAAAAAAAGTATAAGTACTTTGGTAAATCAATCTCTGAGGTTTGAGTGAGTTGTACATTACGTATGTACAACTCGCAACTAAACAAAACAGAAATCAATTATTGCAATACTGTTTATATTAGAAATGTTAGTAACGGGGCCGTTCATTATTCACGTGATGGTTTTAGCATTTTTAACTCCCTGCCTTCCCCCTTGGTGAGATACAAGCAATTTTGGGTGGAGAGCAGTTTGTATTACACAAACCGCTCTCCAAAATTGCTTGTATTTTTTTTAGTATCAACAAAGAATTTTAAATTTTTTAGAATATCTGTAAATCCAGGTATAGTGTTATTTAATTTTATTTTAAAATAGAGAAGACATCGCGTGTTTCACATCATGTATATCTTACTACCCCCCACCCCCTCCCTCCTTGTGATATTATTACCCCACTATCCTCTCCGATTTTATCCCCTCCCCCCTCCCTTCGAGCATAACATTAAGTTGAACGAATGGACGGCTTAACCGTGTTATGTAATCCGGTATTAATTAGATTTTAGTTGTTACACAATAATGTACTGTAATCGTCATATTTTAAGGTGCTTTTATAATTTACAGTTCACTGTTCCATTACAGTTGCCACGGAAAATTACGAATGTCTTCATACAAGCTCGTTAGTTTAGCATGGGTCGTCTCACTTTCCGACGGTCGCGGTTTTTTTTATTTTCGCGCGCTACAATTTTTATTCGTGAGTGTGTCTGTATTGATCTGAATGTTTTTTTTTAATCTAGATATAATATTTGTATATTTCTGTTTAGTTTGTGTTCGTTGATGATTTTAATTATTTATTTATGTTTATATTTTGATTAATGTGAGATTATGGGAATGTAATGCAATTTTTTTAATGGATGATTATGGTGTGGGATCCCTTTGTGGTAACAGTAAACATTGGTGGGGCAACAGTAGAGGATGGCTTCAGGTTATCTCGTATTGAATACATTAGGAATGAACCGTGACAGTTTTCAAGAGAAACCAACCTCTAGTAGAGGTTCATACGATATAGTACATTTGTTAGCAGTGACACCACTAGTTTCAGTTACTAATAACCCCCCTCCCCCTGGATTACAACATTGTATAGTATAAAAGCACCTTTATCAATATATTAATTGAGTAGTTTTTAGTAAACAGATAACAAATTATTCACTGGACAGGACAAGTAAAAAGAAATCACTTTACTTATTAATGATGGCCAGCAATTTTATCACATAACTTCATAGTCAGTTAAGATAATTAATTATGTCTAATTATGAAAAAAAAATATTGTAACCGAATTAAAATTTCAAGGTATGTAATTCAAAAGTAAATGAATCAAGCGAAATAATGTAGGACGCGGCTACCGTGTTACTTGGACGGTTGGTCTTGTCTATTGGCCGTCCGTTGTCGATGCCAGGGTCAAGGACGACTAAATTATTTGTCTATGGAATCATTAAGCATCTTCATGCTTAAAAAATCACAGTTCGTAATAATGTTAACGGTACATGTAGATCTAACATCATACTATTTTGCCTGTATCACTAACAATTGCAGTTCTCCCTTAAGTTAAAATTATGTATTGGTGTTTTATTTTATTTGATGTATTTATGACTAAAACTTTAATAAGATCAAATGGAAAGCTGCTGAGAATAGATGCCGGTCTGTCAACATTCCAATATGTTTAGACTTGTTTACCAGCGACTGTTACATCTATCATGTACACAATCATCTTGCCATTTCAGTAAAAAAATCAAAGTTAAAAAATAGCTAGCCAGTATGGATATTAATAAAAAATATGAGTTGTAAGAGTGGGCGAAAGTATTCTAAATTCAAACTTGTACTTTCTTTTAGACTATTAGTTTGTGTGTTTGATCATCATGTACAGTCATCATTACGCGAATCGATAAAATCGTTTGGAGCATATAATGTATGGATAAGATAATTTAGTCGACTTTTGGGATTATCGGTTAGTGGTATCGACGGTAACCGGTTTTGACCACATCACAAATCGTCGCGACGAGGCGGGGTATTCTAAAACATTCGCAATGTAACCCACCATCAAGCCGCTACTATAGCAGTTTGTCATTCGTTGTGTATATATATACATATTGTATGTATGAATATCATTGAAGAGCGTCGTACGCCTGTCTTCATGATGGCTGTAATAAATAATTAAACAAAGACTGAAGCATAGGAATAGTGTAATATTTAAAGTATTAACTGTAGTTACTTGTATACTGCTATGATCAGTCTCGACGTCTTCGTTCATAGTTTTTGTTTTGTTCGACTTCTGTATTGTGTTATGGGTGCCGTTGATGGTGCATCGAAACAGATGGCGTCCGTCTTATATTGGTTAACCGCGCGTATGTTTTTACTGACCGATCTTGATGATCGCTTTTTATTTTTTAGCGTATACCTTCCAAGTTTGTTCAATGAGAATCGGAAGATATAATTTCACTCGTAATAGTGGACCTTCCCACGTATAGGAAAGGTGGGATAACTTTGTTTTTTACAACTGCAAATCGATCATTTACGAAAACGGGAAACAGTTTTAAACAGATTATAATTTTATATGTGTGTATTAGACAGAAATGTTTTATTATAATAAAACATTATTGTCCAATGCACATGGAAGTAAGTTTAAAGTATATTCTGCCCAAAAAAAGAATCATCAATATTAGGTCAAAAAAACGCGGAGTGATAATACTCCGAGCCGAGTCTGGTTCAGATGCATCCTCAATATCACACTTTAGGAGAGGCGGTATACCTCTTATCTTCGTTTAGTTAGTTTTAGTATATATATATGTTAAGGTCGCTATGTCAAACATCAACTACGTCGGCGTACTAATTGCGGTTTGTACATATTCGTACATCGTGTGTACTATTGTACAATATAGTAGTAGGTACACGTTTTATTATACA